ATGAACGAACAACCAGGGCTTTCCGCCGGAGCTCACAGCTGGTGAACACAGAAATACTAAGAGAAGATGTGACTCCGACTTATTGAGTCTACATGTGTTCTCTTGTATGACCCGATGTAAATAACACCAACACTCAACAGCTGTTTCTGGTCTATGTTGAGTGGATAGCTTGCTGTATACTTCGTTGAGTTCGCCGGCGCGCACAATGCGCGGGGTCTTCAAAACAATTCAATCCCGTTTTGGGATGAAAGCCCATGCTAGTTACTCTTGACCTTTGACCTGATGAGTGACTGCCTTTAGTCACACACATGCGCAGTCTGGTCGGTGACCCCAGCAGGGTCACGTTGGCGATGAGTCAGGAGGTGTAACGATCGTCTTCTTTTCTCTCTAGCTTTTTTCACACAGCTCTCTCTCTCTCTCTCTCTCTCTCTCTCTCTCTCTCTCTCTCTCTCTCTCTCTCTCTCTCTCTCTCTCTCTCTCTCTCTCTTTCTCTTTCGCTGCTGTCTTCTCTCGTCCGTCTCTCTCTCTCTCTCTCTCTCTCTCTCTCTCTCTCTCTCTCTCTCTGTTTCTCTTTCGCTGCTGTCTTCTCTCGTTTCTCTCTCTCTGTTTCTCTTTCGCTGCTGTCTTCTCTCGTTGCTCTCTCTCTCTCTCTCTCTGATCTCTCTGTTCTGTCTCTTCGCTCAACTGCTCACTTTTCTTTATAAGACATGTTAAGTTTCTGCTCAGTTGTTGATACTTTCTCCACTTTCCGCCACTGGGACGTAAATCATCATCATCATGTGCCCTGCCAACCGTCGTAGGCGCTCATGTCTCCACAAATCACATCCCTGTTTGACTGGAACAGCTCTCTTGATGATATCCCTTCATGCAATCGTGTCAGCCCATCCAGCATCATCTCTCTTGGTCTGCCTCTACCCCTTTTCCCACTGATCTTTCCAGTTGTTACGATGTTCTCCAAAGTCTCTCTTCTCATTGTGTGGCCAAAGAAGTGTTTGTCGCTTTCTTATTGTTGTATATATATATAGATCTACTTTCATTAGCCTCTTTCAAGCAGTCGTAAGTTACTCTGGCCGTCCAAGGTATTCGTAACATTCGTCTCAGAAACCACATCCCGGTTGCTTCCAAATTCTTCCCAATTTGTTAAGTGACATTCCAAGATTCGATGCCATACAGCAGAACAGGTTCTATGTAACATTTTAGCAGCCTCTTTCTGACATTAAATGAGAGCGATTTATTGCGTATTTTTCATTTTCTGAAATGCAGCTTTCGTTTGACCTATTCTGCTTTTAATATCAGTCACACATTTTTCATCTGATGATATGATTGTAATATTCAATAAAAGTCTGTTCTTACCACTCTCCATCCCCACAATATCCATTAGTTGTTGTAAATGTCCTTGTTATTGTTCTTACAGCAAATGTCCTAGTTGTTGTTCTTACAGCAAATGTCCTAGTTGTAGTTCTTATAACAAATGTCCTAGTTGTAGTTCTTATAACAAATGTCCTAGTTGTAGTTCTTCAACAAATGTCCTAGTTGTAGTTTTTAAGTAAATGTCCTAGTTGTAGTTTTTACAGCAAATGTATTAGTTCTAATATTTAGTGGCTTAGTTGTAGTTCTTACAGCAAATGACCTAGTTTTAGTTCTTACAGCAAATGTCCTAGTTGTTCTTATATCCAGTGCCTTAGTTGTAGTTCTTACAGCAAATGCATTTTCAGATATCAAAACTGTATCGTCTGCATAACGCAAATTGTTTATAGTGTATCCTCCAGCTCTTACTCCTGCATTCTCTTTAGTTTCCCTCCAAATTATATGTATATATGTGGCCTTCAATAAACTGTCCAACATCTGGAAATCAAAGACACTTAGCAAACACACAAAACTCAAGATCTTCAATTCTTGTGTGATTCCAGTACTAACCTATGGATGCGAGAGCTGGAAATCAACGAAAACTCTAGACACAAAATTAGACAATTTTGAAAATAAATGCCTTAGAAGAATACTAAATTTCAAATGGTCAGATTTCCGAACCAATACACAAATAAGGCAAGAATCCAGGCAAGAGTATGTGTCTAATTTTATACGAAAACGCCGCTGGAACTATGTCGGCCACGCCCTTAGAATGGATAAATCAAGACTTCCTTACCAAGCCCTCATTTGGACACCACAGGGGAAAAGATCTCGTGGAAGACCAAGGGAAACCCTACGTAGAACTATCATCAGGGAAGGCTCGCTCATGGGCCACTCAAACATCCAAGACCTACAACGGATTGCAACGGACCGCCATGCATGGAGAGTCATGACCTCTGCCCTATGTGCCGCACTCGACACAAGAGGAAAGACTTAACTAACTAACTATGTGGCCTTATTCTGTATCTGCATCAGTCCCTACTCACCCCCACCTCCTACTCTACCCTTACGTCTCCTATACACTCCCTATCCTTTCCCACACTATTCCTATCTTCTCCCACGCAACCACCCGCACCTCCTACCCTACCCTTACGTCTCCTATGCGCTCCCTATCCTTTCCCACACTATTCCTGTCTTCTCCCACGCAACCACCCCCACCTCCTACCCTACCCTTACGTCTCCTATGCACTCCCTATACTTTCCCACACTATTCCTATCTTCTCCCACACAACCACTCCCACCTCCTACCCTACCCTTACGTCTCCTATGCACTCCCTATCCTTTCCCACACTATTCCTATCTTCTTCCACGCAACCACTCCTCCCCTCCGTATTGCCATGTCTGCCTGTGGCATTGACCACTATCTTATCAGAACTTCTGGATGACAGACTCTGCCCAGACAGAACCTGGCCACACTTGCCAGCATATCGGGTCCTAAATATCCCGGCCTGTCTTTAGAGTCTGCTAGACAACAATAGGACATCACAGACGCTGCATGAAGCTTGCGACGGGCGCAGTAAACAGCTTTCTTCACCAGACAGCCATATCTATCCCACCAGGACCCTCTCATCCGTCTTCGTTCAGCCAGTTGATTTCTTTCTCTTTCCTATGTTTCTCTTGGCTGTAGTTGATTTCATTCTCTTTCCTATGTTTCTCTTGGCTGTAGTTGATTTCTTTCTCTTCCCTATGTTTCTCTTGGCTCCAGTTGATTTCTTTCTCTTCCCTATGTTTTTCTTGGCTGTAGTTGATTTCTTTCTCTTTCCTATGTTTCTCTTGGCTCCAGTTGATTTCTTTCTCTTCCCTATGTTTCTCTTGGCTGTAGTTGATTTCTTTCTCTTCCCTATGTTTCTCTTGGCTGTAGTTGATTTCTTTCTCTTTCCTATGTTTCTCTTGGCTCCAGTTGATTTCTTTCTCTTTCCTATGTTTCTCTTGGCTGTAGTTGATTTCTTTCTCTTTCCTATGTTTCTCTTGGCTCCAGTTGATTTCTTTCTCTTTCCTATGTTTCTCTTGGCTGTAGTTGATTTCTTTCTCTTTCCTATGTTTCTCTTGGCTCCAGTTGATTTCTTTCTCTTTCCTAAGTTTCTCTTGGCTCCAGTTGATTTCTTTCTCTTTTCTATGTTTCTCTTGGCTGTAGTTGATTTCTTTCTCTTGGCTGTAGTTGATTTCTTTCTTTTTCCTATGTTTCTATTGGCTGTAGTTGATTTCTTTCTCTTTCATATGTTTCTCTTGGCTTTAGTTGATTTCTTTCTCTTCCCTATGTTTCTCTTGGCTCCAGTTGATTTCTTTCCCTTGGCTGTAGTTGATTTCTTTCTCTTTCCTATATTTCTCTTGGCTGTAGTTGATTTCTTTCTCTTTCCTATGTTTCTCTTAGCTGTAGTTGATTTCTTTCTCTTTCCTATGTTTCTCTTGGCTCCAGTTGATTTCTTTCTCTTTCCTATGTTTCTCTTAGCTCCAGTTGATTTCTGTCTCTGTCCTATGTTTCTCTTAGCAGCTCTAGTTGATTTCTTTCTCTTTCCTAAGTTTCTCTTGGCTCCAGTTGACTAGACGGATTTTCTGTGTTTACTCTTAACATTTTCAATTAGTTCGAGTCCTTATTCTAGCCCTAGTGAATTCAGTTTGGGCTCATGTTTTAGGGGAAGGGGCGGGGAGGGAAAGGGATGCTTAAGAGAGAGAGAGAGAGAATGTGCGATGATTTCCCATGTGACCGCCTTTTGTGGTGGTGGGGGGGGGGGGGGGGGGCACAGCCGGTCGGCCTTAGCTTCTGTCTTGATTTCATGGTCAGTGCTATCTACTTCAAGCAAATGCTTGCACACATCACCATCATCACAGTCTGGACTCTTGGTCAAATGCTTGCACACATCACCGTCATTACAGTCTTGACTCTTGGTCCAGCTTCCCTGCAGTGGGCAGTTCATGTCCAGGAAGTTTTTGAATGCCCTTTATTATTCGACCCCTGCCTTTACTTCTAGAAACTTTTCCTCTATCCATTGATGATTATAGGCAGGATATTAGTGGCTAGTGACAAATCTCTGACACTAACATCATTGCGTGACCTGGGAGTCAAGTAGGCTGAAGCATGTCTATGCCACTTGAGATAGGAGACATTATAACCAACTTATGGGAACAGGCAGTAGAGCTTCTCTGAGGTGGCTGCTGCACCAGAGGACTGAGCATGCATGGGATTGCCAAGTGTGCAGTGATGTTGATTGTGATAACATAACATACAATCATTAATGATCGCTAGGACTTGTTACTTGGACATAAACACAAAGACATGGACAGAGAGAACATCATCATAAAACAGCTCATAACTAATTTTGTGAATTCATTGTCCTAATATTCAAATCCCCAGGATGAGCCGCAGTAGTCAGTGATGCATTCCTTTGTGGAGCAGCTTCCTTGTTATAACAACTTCTTGTGTGGGACACTTTCAAGTATGTCTTAGTGGTTGCCCACTTGTTCTCAAGCATCTACTAGCTGCAACAGTGACATCACTAAACGAAACAACCACACTGTCAAAGTGTCAGCAAGTTTGTGACAACAAGAAAATGCATCACATTATTTAAGCGAACTGGAGGAGACACACGTGCAGTATGACATCTGAACGGACTCCAGGCCTGGACAGATTTGGCCATGGGTAAGAATTTGTTAGCTTACAGTAAATGTGAATGAAGGGACATTACTTTCACAGACTTTTCAGTTTTACCATGTTCTGTTATGCATTTTGGGGCACTCTGTTAGATAGCTAGCTACACTGGCAAGCAGCTCAGAGGTACTCTGTTAGATATCTAGCTACTCTGGCAAGCAGCTCAGAGGTACTCTGTTAGATAGCTAGCTACTCTGGCAAGCAGCTCAGAGGTACTCTGTTAGATATCTAGCTACTCTGGCAAGCAGCCCAGAGGTACTCTGTTAGATATCTAGCTACACTGGCAAGTAGCTCAGAGGTACTCTGTTAGATATCTAGCTACTCTGGCAAGCAGCCCAGAGGTACTCTGTTAGATATCTAGCTACTCTGGCAAGCAGCTCAGAGGTACTCTGTTAGATATCTAGCTACTTTGGCAAGCAGCTCAGAGGTACTCTGTTGGATATCTAGCTACTCTGGCAAGCAGCTCAGAGGTACTCTGTTGGATATATAGCTACTCTGGCAAGCAGCTCAGAGTTACTCTGTTGGATAGCTAGCTACTCTGGCAAGCAGCTCAGAGGTACTCAGATAACTAGCTACTCTGGCAAGCAGCTCAGAGGTACTCTGTTGGATAGCTAGCTATCTGGCAAGCAGCTCAGAGGTACTCTGTTGGATAGCTAGCTACTCTGGCAAGCAGCTCAGAGGTACTCTGTTAGATATCTAGCTACTCTGGCAAGCAGCTCAGAGGTACTCTGTTGGATATCTAGCTACTCTGGCAAGCAGCTCAGAGGTACTCTGTTGGATAGCTAGCTACTCTGGCAAGCAGCTCAGAGGTACTCAGATAACTAGCTACTCTGGCAAGCAGCTTAGAGGTACTCTGTTGGATAGCTAGCTATCTGGCAAGCAGCTCAGAGGTACTCTGTTGGATAGCTAGCTATTCTGGCAAGCAGCTCAGAGGTACTCAGATAACTAGCTACTCTGGCAAGCAGCTCAGAGGTACTCTGTTGGATATCTAGCTACTCTGGCAAGCAGCTCAGAGGTACTCTGTTGGATAGCTAGCTATTCTGGCAAGCAGCTCAGAGGAACTCAGATAACTAGCTACTCTGGCAAGCAGCTCAGAGGTACTCTGTTGGATAGCTAGCTATCTGGCAAGCAGCTCAGAGGTACTCTGTTGGATAGCTAGCTACTCTGGCAAGTAGCTCAGAGGTACTCTGTTGGATATCTAGCTACTCTGGCAAGTAGCTCAGAGGTACTCTGTTGGATATCTAGCTACTCTGGCAAGCAGCTCAGAGGTACTCTGTTGGATAACTAGCTACTCTGGCAAGTAGCTCAGAGGTACTCTGTTGGATATCTAGCTACTCTGGCAAGCAGCTCAGAGGTACTCTGTTAGATATCTAGCTACTCTGGCAAGCAGCTCAGAGGTACTCTGTTAGATAGCTAGCTACTCTGGCAAGCAGCTCAGAGGTACTCTGTTAGATATCTAGCTACTCTGGCAAGCAGCTCAGAGGTACTCTGTTAGATAGCTAGCACTCTGGCAAGCAGCTCAGAGGTACTCTGTTGGATAGCTAGCTACTCTGGCAAGCAGCTCAGAGGTACTCTGTTGGATAGCTAGCTACTCTGGCAAGTAGCTCAGAGGTACTCTGTTGGATAGCTAGCTACACTGGCAAGCAGCTCAGAGGTACTCTGTTGGATAGCTAGCTACACTGGCAAGCAGCTCAGAGGTACTCTGTTGGATAGCTAGCTACACTGGCAAGCAGCTCAGAGGTACTCTGTTGGATAGCTAGCTACACTGGCAAGCAGCTCAGAGGTACTCTGTTGGATAGCTAGCTACACTGGCAAGCAGCTCAGAGGTACTCTGTTGGATAGCTAGCTACACTGGCAAGCAGCTCAGAGGTACTCTGTTAGATATCTAGCTACTCTGGCAAGTAGCTCAGAGGTACTCTGTTAGATAGCTAGCTACACTGGCAAGCAGCTCAGAGGTACTCTGTTGGATAGCTAGCTACACTGGCAAGCAGCTCAGAGGTACTCTGTTGGATAGCTAGCTACTCTGGCAAGCAGCTCAGAGGTACTCTGTTGGATAGCTAGCTACACTGGCAAGCAGCTCAGAGGTACTCTGTTGGATAGCTAGCTACACTGGCAAGCAGCTCAGAGGTACTCTGTTGGATAGCTAGCTACACTGGCAAGCAGCTCAGAGGTACTCTGTTGGATAGCTAGCTACACTGGCAAGCAGCTCAGAGGTACAATGGTGGTCTTCAATTTTGTAGTACTGACAAATAATCAACTATGAGACTTTTAGAAAATAAAGAAGCTGAGGTTGTTATAGTCTGGTTGTTCCTACGGTAGATAATTGTGCACACAGCCTCATCATTTCAATTAAAAACATGTTCCTATTGTGAATGTAAATAATGTAGACACAAACAATCTATTGCATTGTGTATGGCCTGCCATATTTCACTGTACAATATGATTTATGTAATTCAGCTCAAAGATTAATTTTTGTGCTTGGTTGAATGTTGATGTAATGCACCTGTTGAGATACAGCTACAAGATTTATTGTTGTTAGTTAGTTAGTTAGTTGGGTTATCATCATTGCACTCCGGACATGTCCATAGGTGCTCAGATTCTCCCCTCAGTATAATCCCCAATGTCTGATGGCTAATAGTACCAGTTCTATGTTGATTAACAAGTCTCCTGGCGTGTCTGGTGTGCGTCTCGTTTTTTGCTGTGCCGATCTTAATTCCCCAGTCTGCCATTCTGGCGAGTGATGTGGATTCACTGCCACCAAAGTCCTCTATCCTTCCCATTTATCTGAGGGCATTGATAATATCAGCATGATCCATAGGCTGACCGTCGGTAGTGATAGCGGATCCAGCCAACCTGTCAGCTCTTTCATTTCCATCAACGCCTGCATATCCCGGAACAAAAATAAAGGTGACTCCACGCACAGTGGACTTCTGTAATGATTCAAGCCATTGTCTTCGCACTGAATCTGCCTGAACCCTCCGGATCATACTCATTGAATCACTGAGTATACACACGCGGGTGTATTTTTGTGATTCAAGCCAGGCAAACGCTTGCATCACTGCCATCACCTCCATCGTCATGCTGCTGGTTGTCATGGAGAAGGCACCGTTGGCTTCTTTGACTGTTCTGCCCGCTGAGCGTGCTGAGAATGCCCATGCGCTTCTTTTTTGGCGTATAACGGATCCGTCTGTATAGATTAGTGCATCTGCTTGGTCTGAATTTTCACTGATGAGAGCGTTGACCTCTGCATTAAGGTATGATGTCGGTTAGGCTGTATATTTGTCTAATAACATCTTCTGCCCGACCTAGCCACGATTTTCCCCTCTTCAGTCTGTCACCCTTTTCACTAAAAAGCCCTTGATGCAGTAGGTGTTTCTTATCAGCACATATTTTAAGGTAATCCCGAGCCCTCCACATCCTGATCCTTTGGTTCATTGTTGGAAAGTCAAGTAGATACCTCATTGCTCCACAGGATGTGTCTCTTGTACATCCCACAATAATGCGCATGGCTTCATTTTGCACCTTTTCGAGTCGTTAAATCTGGGTAGCACTGACAGTGAGGATGGCCAGAGCGTATTCAATGGGGGAAAGGACCAGACCGTAGAAAAGAAGTATTAGTAGTCTTTGCTCGATATTAGAAGCAGCAATAATCCTCATTGTAGATAGACCTTTGCGTGCTTTTGTTATCACATAGTCAACGTGTTCCCTTAATGACAAGCTGCGATCGAACCTCACCCCGAGGAACGTCATAACGTTGGTTCTGATCAATACATTATCACACATATTCACTTCTGGTAAGTTCGACTTGACAATGTGATTGTTCAAAGAGAACCATGACACTGATGCCTTTGAAGGATTGACATTGGCATTGGAACCATCACACCAGGCCGCAATTCGATCAAGTTCTTTGTGCATTGTGTTAGCGATCTCCTGTCTATCACGCCTTTGTCGATAAATCAAAATGTCATCAGCAAATGACAAAGTCCTTCCCTTTCCATTCAACTGCTGTTCAGTGATCATCACCATATAAACGTTGAATAAGACTGGTGATAGCGGTGATCCCTGTGGCAAGCCTGGACATATCGTTTGCGGTTCTGAGGACCAGCTACCACATCTTAGTACAATCTTTCTCTGGAACAGGACCGCAGCAATCCAGCGGATCAGAATAGGATTGACTTCTAGTTTAAGCAGTCATTGCATTAAATAGTCATATGGTACTTTATTGTAGGCATCTTCTAAGTCCAACACTGCCGCACATGTCTCTTCTTTAATCTGAAATCCCTCGTACACATGGTAGGTGAAAACTGCAGCATTGAACCATGTCTCTTTATTCAACCTGTACCCTCCAAGTAGGTGGTCAATCTTTGTGCGACAATCTTCTCTAAATGTTTGCCAACAGTATTTTGCATCGAGATGATTCTGTAGCCGAAGATCTTTGAGTGGTCTTTATTCGGCTTTGGTAGTGGAAGCAAATAACTATGGAGCCATTCCTCTTGTATCTGGCCACTCTGGATGCTGATATTGAATTCCTTTGCCACGCTTTTCAAATCAGCATTGACATCATCAGCATGTCGTTGTATCGGATGCCATCAGGGCCTGGAGCAGTGCTGCGCGATTTCTTGAGGCATTTATTGTTGTGCTCGGTTACATGTTGATGTAACGCTTCAGTAATGCACCTGTTGGAATGCCGCCGCAATATAAGGCAGACAATAAATTGTGCAGTGTATTGTTTGTGTCCACGTTATTTAAAAACAGGAAGTCAGTTGGTTGAAATGCCCAGGCTACGTTTCCAGTTTACACAACCTATCCACAAGAAACAATATTTGTCTGGTTTATGCATTTATTTGATCCTTACAGGCACTATAATAATAGAGAAAATCACAACTGAGATTTTAATATAGCAAAAACAAAGATAATGCATACAGATAAAAATACAATGGAGAAAGAAATATATGTTAATGAGAAAAAATTTGAAGTTGTGGAAATTTTTT